TCTGCTACGACTTGGCCATTTGTTGCTCCATACTTCCAGGGTGTGGATGTGGGTGTGTGTTGGGTGGAATTAGAACACCCACACCTGAGTTTAGCAAAGAAACATGAAAATACAAAACATAGAACATTACACGATATGTATTTAATCGTATTATACAGTATCACATCAGATCGATTATCGAGCATAAAAGAAATTCAACTCGATCGCAACCTACCGAAACGAAAGAAGAATTTTATAGAGTTGTAGGAGACTTCTAAAATAATATATTCATTGACAGGAGAAGAAGGTTAGGATACGTACCAAACAGGAAATCAGTTCGGTTTGAACTTCTTATAAACACGTAGTCGGTTCCATTCTTAAAAGAATAATTCACTCTGATTGCTGATAAGAACTATATCAGCTCAGAAAAAATTCTGGATTAAGGAACATGGAGATCTAAAACATCGATATAGAAAAAAAGATACAGAGGTTTTTTTTTACAATTGACTTTATTTTAAGAATTGAAATAAATTCCTAAGAAAATGACATCCTTAGTATAGTTATATCAAAAAGTAGTTACTTAATAAAATAAATGTCTAAATTTCAGGTTTTTAGACATAAGATATTCAATAATTGAACCCAGCTTAACTAAAATTGATTGAAATAGTCATTAAAACTTGATAAGATACCTATGATGTATATCTTGTAAATATTCTGCCATTAAAGTCATTGTCCTCAAGTAAAAATCGAAAAATAAATTGTAAAAAGCGTCTATTATGAAGGTGAACATGATTAGAATTGTACCAACAAATACTTAGGGCAATCTAAAAGTAATGGCGGAGGCACCTTATTTTCGTATAACAATCTGAAAGAATGTTTTTTATATAGCGAAAACAATAATAACGTTCTATTTTTCTGTGGCATTTGATCACTCTTCAAATAATATCATAATAATAAAGCTTCGATAAAGACTGTTTGTCTGTAAAACTTGACTATAAGATTAAATCATATCGTCATCCACGTGTATTCTCTATGTCGTTTTTTTCGTTCTTCTTTTCTCTTTTCTTCCATTTTTTTTCTTGTTTCTTTTGATACCTAGCCATCCATCCATACATATATTTATATTAAGCCACATGTATTGTTCTTTTTGTATGTATGTGTGGTTCGTTTGTACATTTTCAAGAAAGTCACAGGAATAAAGTCAGATTAAACATTAACACTATTCATCTGTTTGAGATGAAGATGGAAAATTTTCTTTTCTTCATTAAAGTGTTTACCACACTTAACATTCAATCAAAGTTATTCATAATGAATCGTTATACACCTTAGGATCTGGTCGATTTTCAATGAGCTAAACAAGTTCGAATATGCAAACAAAATTTAGTAAAATTTGAAGAAGCAGCATGGTACTTATGCGATGTGATGACAAATGACGAGTCGTAATTTTATCATAAACAAAGTGGTCGAAAGTCATCAAATGCTGCGTGCATGGCAAGAAGAATCCCTTCACCTACCATGGTTCAACGTGGTAAATTTGTTCCAAAGTCCTTATTCTTATCTTTTCAAAGTCAAATGGTACTGTTTTGTTTCATCATAGGGAACGGGGACAAACTATTGACCGAAAGTATTATATCAACAATTGTTTGCAACTTCTCGTCAACTACATCAAACATAAAAAATCCTTATTTAGCATTCGTGGTATTAAACTTGCACACAATAATGAAAGACAATATATACATAAAAATGTGTCCAATAATCTTGAATCGGAAGGCATTACAATAATACCACATTCATCAAATTCTACTGATCTAGTACCATATAAGTTTTGGTTGTACGATTTAATTAAGCAGAATCTAAGAGATGAAATCGATGCTGAATCACTGTATGATATTGAAACCAAGTTCATGTGTCTTTTGGATAAAAAAGTACAAAAAGCCTTCGATAAGTGGATGCAAAGATCGTAGTTGTGTTTGGATAAACAAGATGATTGTTTTGAACGTTTGATGAAATAAAATCTTGCTGAACCTGTTTCCGTGTTTCTTTTATTCTATCACTATTACTTTATTGTACACTTTAATAAATACGGATGGCTAGACATGAGAAGAGACGAGAAAAAGAATGAAAGAAAAGAGAAATGAAGAACGAATAAAAGAAAAACAAAAAGAAAATACACATGGATGATAATAATATGATCTAATCTTACAATCAAGTTTTTCGCAAATAAAGTTTTTATCGAAGTTTTATTCTTATCAAATTAGTCTGAGAGAGATCAAATAACACAGAAAAATAGAGCATTGTTATTTCTATCATTATAAAAAAGATTCCTTCAAAATTTCTATACAGAAAATAAGCATCTCCGTCACTGCTTTTCGACTGCCCAAAGTAATTATTAATTTGAATAGATAGATATGTCGAGGCTATATCATTGAATGCTTCTTCAACAGTAAGTTCTCTCCGAATATTATTAAAATAAAAATTTGCCCTTTTTAATCAATGTTATTCTCTGATTCAGAATTGTTTTTTTTTCGTAAAATTCAGTAATAATTCAAATAATGAATTGCTTGAAGATAAATTTCTATACAATGAAGATTCTAATTCAATATAACCTTAATTATTCGTCGCTTATAACATATCGAGTTACGATATTGTAAGAGGATGAAATATCAAGACGGAAGCTATTATCAAAAACAAAAATAAAACAAGCGCTTTTTAAAATAAAAAACCTTAATTTGATGAATCTGATGTTGATGTAGATTGTAATGTTGATAATGTGTCCGATGTTCTATGCAAATGTACATCATGTTTTTGTAGTGTTTCCTTTGTGTTACTCAAATAAGAGAAAAGAAAATCATCGAATATGATATCATTCACTTGTAGTCAAATATCTAGAAACTTTTAATGATTAATTACAATTTCGAGGTGAAATTGTTGGAATGATATATATTGAAGATAATGTCATAGCAGTATTTTTATTTAATTCGATCGATAAAAACAAATCGATTCATGTAAGTCAAATTCTATATTTTATTGTCCTAACAAAAAAAGAAAATTTATATATTGAAATTATGTATACAAGAATACAAAGAGAAAAGTTTTTATAAGTCAGTAATAAGTTTTCGTCTAATATTCAATTCATCTTCTCCAGTTCTTGGATCAAATTCTCGGAAAAATGTGCAATCAAGTGGTTCAGCTAACATTAATTCACATGTTGTATGAACAGTAAGAGAACGGACTCGACCACCAATTAATGAACCTGTTTCAGGATCAGCAAATGAACCCATTATATGATGAGAGTCTTGATCAAATGTTCCACTCAAAGATACAATATCATATTCTTTTTTATTTAATTGATGAGAATTTAATGAAAATTCTGCTAAGTTTCCAACACAACTTAAAATAAATAATGATTGTACGCCAATATTTTCCATTAATTCATGAATTGTTGAGAGTAATTCAACACCAGGACCAATGCGAAGTGGATAACATCGAATTTCTGTACTTGCTGGAGCTTCTATTTATTTTAATTCATAAATAAGAATCAATTAAATTAAATTAAATTAAATTAAACTTACGACGAGGAGTTCGCTTTTGTGATTTTATTTTATTTGTACGCGCCAAAATGCTATTGATTGTATTTACTATCACAGGCATTTTGATTTCAGTAGCTACTGATTATTTTCTCGATGTGTATGCTTCAGTGGCTTATAACTACAGCTTATATACTACTTAGTAAATAATGCATTTAAGAACGAGACGAGACGTCGCGATTGTTTTGTCATGGACACCTCGCTCATATGAAAACAACCTACATAAAATATATCTTCCTTCTGTAATCAATAAATATTTATTAACCAACAATATTAAATATGTTTTTTGCATTTTTTTGTAAGGACTTCAAAAAATATTTTTTTTATTAATCAAATAAAAATTAATATGAAACTTTTTTTTCAAAAATTGAAAATAATTTATTCTTTTCTTGGTAATCTGATTATATTTTGTTGCTTGTTATGATAGACAATACGTAGGTATTATTTGACCGAACCTTCAGTGTTTAATGTCATGATAGGAAAAAAGACAAAGTACAGACATCTTTTATTGTGACAAGTTATATTGAAGAAAAACATTCATTTTTTCGTCTTCGTTGTTACATTAATAAACAAGGTCAAATATTGTCTGGCTAGCAATGATGAATTACAAGTTTGTAGTTTTACATTAACAACAGTTTATGATCATGCTCTTCTTGTTTCTCACACACAGAACGAATATCACATTTCATTTTTCTTTTATGATTAGTGTCTAATCATTGAATATTACAAGTCAACCGAAAAAAAAACAAGATTTACTCATAAGCGTCATTAAATCATCATAAGAGTAAATGAATCAGAAATATTACTTTTGATTTATAGAATAATTAACGAAAATAAAATAAATTGTTAAACAATTAGATTGATATAATTAGTTAATTATTCGTCTTGAATATAATTTAGTAGAACTTGTTGAATAAATGATGTATTTATGCTTAATTTTGAAAAAGAAAGACTGATAAATACGAGTATAATCAAAATAATAATCTGAATTAGGTTAAGTAAACAACGTGACTCGTCGTTAGATACTTCTATATAAAAATAATACAATAAAATCCAGCATAATCTCAAATTAGAATATTTCTCCGATGAATTTTTATGATAAAATAATCTTTAAATATACATTATCAATAATTAATCTACCAAAGTCTGTTACCTAAGTAAATTAAATAAGTTCGATAAATTGTATTTAAATTCGAGATTAATTTACGATTTTAAACCAATTCAAACGAGATAGACAAATTGAATAAAACAAACATCACGATCAAAATAATTTTGAAATACACATAGAAAAAAATATACGAATAAACTGATTCGATGTAGTATAAGCAGAACGAAAAGCGTAATAATTAATTTTTGTGTCAATAGTATTTAATTTTTCAAGTAAAGTCAAGCTGGTTTTTCACTAATGACAAGATAATGATGATCAGATTGAATTTATTTTTGATGAGTACATATAGTTACACTCATTGCAAGTCGAACACAAATAGAATGATAAATTAAATCAATTTCAATATCTTCAAATTTGTTTAGTTGATTATAACCACGAATAAGATTTGTTGCTGAATCAATTGGATCTTGTTTATTTAACATAATATAGATACATGCTATAGCAACTTCACTTATAAGAAATGCTTGGCACATATGTCCAAAATCAATTGCACCAATATTATCTTCATCAATAATAATTATATTATAATCATGAGTATCATTATGAATAATAGATTTTCGAAGTGATGAAAATAAAGGAACAACAATTTGAATATAATCTTTAAGATTATCTTCAATTATTTGAGGATGATTTAACAATTAAATTTTTATATTTATTAATTATATATTCAGCATTTATTATATTCCAATAAATATCACATTTTGCAGATTCACCTTTAAGTTGAATAAGAGATTTATCTATTATTCTAAGAAGTTTTTCTATATTAAAAATTAATTTAGGATTATAAGATCTCTAATCAGCTAAAGGAATTCTTGAAAGATAACTAACAAGACTTATTAAATGATATTTATATTTAACAATCATTTTCCATTTAATGTGTTTCATAGAACGATTTTGCATATGAGTAACTGAATAAGTTTCATCAATCTTTGAAATCTTTAATATAAATTTTGATTGTTGACGCTGGAAAAGAAACTTTTGATCACGTTCACTGGGTCATTAACAAAAAATTGATTTAAATCGTAATATTGAAGAACAATCTCTTTTATATCAGTATGACACGGAAAAAACAAATTGATTATTTAACAATATTTTATTTTTGTTGTTCATTAATCGTAACCAATTGAACATTCAATAATGAGCTTTTTTATTCTATTTAACTTGAATTATTATATTATAGGCCTAATCATAAATAATTTTTGAGTTTGAACATAACCTAATGGACAGAACAGGATTAACTAAAAACTTTAATTTTAAATTAAACAAAAGACCGTCTAATGAATCATTCGAATAATTGAATAAGTTCTGTCGATTGATTTATCATATAAATGAATAAAAAATTTCAACGTACGATTCATATTCTTAAAGCATATTCATTATTTTTTATTTTCGTTAGTTTCCTATGAGACTTTATCATTCTTTTTTCTATTGCTCGACTTAGTAACAGCTTGTATCAAATGAAAATGTGATATCTTCATGTTATGTAAGTTGATTAATAGAAATTTAACATGAAACAATAAAGTTACTGAATAAAAAAAAGTGTACCATTGAATTAAATTGAATTGAAATATATTGTTCAAATTTTAGAATAAGGTTTAGCAATCATGTTTCTTTATATTAAAGGTTTTTTTTTTATGGACAATTATTTGACTGTCACATTTCTATTATATTGTTATGAATAAAGTTATTTTTATGAATGTGCTTTGAAAAAAAATCTAAATTATATGTGATTAATATATTTAAATTAACTAGCCAAACTTTCTCAGCTTAAACATTATATATTATCTAACAAACTCATATGCCCCGGTTATGGTTTAAATATATTACTTCAAATAATAGTTATATATTTAAATAAAAAATATTGAGAACATTTTCTAGAAGATGGACATGATTATCGTGTTTACTGGTCGTTTACATTATACATATATTTTAAATTATTGAAATCTAGATGTATTTTTTTATTCAATTGTCCATTTTATTGTAAATATGGTTACATTTATTGATTTATTGTTTTTCTTTTTACCAAATCTTTCAATAAGCCCCCTCTCCTCCTCCCAAGAGTAAAAGCCCATTGAGCTTCTATTAATTTTGAAAATTATAAGTTTGAAGGTGGGCTTCTATTTCAACCCACTTTTTTTCGTCTTCCACAGCAAAATATGAAAAACCATTCTCGACAAAAGCGCACTAGCATTGTAGGAAATGTATTAAGACCTCCTTAAAAACTGATCTAAGTCCAGAAGCATTCAAATTGTATGACATTTTCAACATATGTTAGGGCTGGAGTCGAAAAGCTATGGTCAAATTTACAGTCAAATATGATAACATTTGAAGACGATATTGGTCAAACAAAGGTGAAAAATAGCGTATTTGATAAACCTAATTTCTCTGTTCACGTTCATTTTATATATTTAATTTCTTTTTGTTTGAAAGAGCATGTCAGGATGCAATGCAATCAAGTGCTCTTCTTTTTAAACTCTTCTTTTTAACGGGAGAACAGCGATCGAAAATTAAATGACTCAAAAATATTTCTAATACGGCTCTCTATTTATATAAATGTTCGTACATATAGTAAACGCAAAGTTTAATCAAACGAAAGGGCTCTGTACCGTACTGCATCTTGACGTGTTTTCTCAAGCGAAAAAAGTTCAATATATAGAATGAGTATTATCAGAGAAATTTGGGTTGCACGATCAAGAAAACATAAACGCAGAAAAAACGAAAAATGTTTTGCGTTTTCTGAATGCAGTCTATCTTTGAATAGGGGATGACAGAAATCTTGAAAAATTTTTGTAAAAAACGAGGTGCTGAGTAAACATTTTGTTGCTTATGAAAAAAAATAGCACGACCTATCTTCCCATGCATTAATTTTTATTTCGTTTATTCTGACAAAAAGTGCCTTTTTTGAGAGACCTTAAAACGTCAATATGAATTTATACATCCATGGTTGTGTTGAAGTGGCAAGACTTAACGATATCGACGATTTTTATTGAAAATATTCTAGTATTTTTTGTTTTTTTTTCTAAAATGTTTGCAAATTATGGAAATTTTCAAAGAAATTATCGAAAAACTTTTTAAAAAGTTTCTTAAAAATTTTTATAAATTGTCGAGTAAAAAAAGAAATTTTCAAAGATTGAGGGCCACTTTTGACTTGCTTCCTGTATGAGACACTCGTCTATATATCACAAATTAGAATACAGAGAAGAAAAAAAAACATTGTTTAACAGAAGAATTATTGACAGAGCGTCGGTGATGCGCGAAGCTAATCAACCTAATAAGAAAAAGCATTACAGAGTGAAAGAATAAAATCGACGAGTATATGATCATTTTATCTAAAACAGTGAAAATTATCGACCAAATTAATCGAGTGCTTAATTTCTCTACATGTACACATTTTGAACTCAATGGACTTTTATTGCGTTCGAACAATTATAGTCGTGAGGGTGGGCTTTTATTCTTGAGAGGGAGAAGGATTTAAAAAATTTAGTTAACAGAGATTATACATCGTAAGGTCATATGTACAATAAATGAAAATAAAATCTAGAATCATAAATGATCGAGTTTCGATTGATCATCTGTCTCATAATTTACAAGAATATTTTGTCACAAAGTTAAACAACCTAATGTGATAGTGCATGAGATTTGTAACCCAAGCGATGTTCGACAAGTTTTTTCTTCGCAGACACATTTTTGTTTGTGCACGTGTTGATGAAAGACCTGAACAGATGAATAATAGAAAAAAATAATAAACATAGAATCGAATCATTTACGAAATAAACTTCTGGTTGATGTCTGTTCCATATGAAAATGGAAATAAACCTATATTGAACAACTAAGCAACGGCATTAAAAAGGAATCAAAGAAGTTTTTCGTGTTTGTTTATGCCAATAAATGGTAGACCAAATAGCATTTAAGATTAATATTAGCAATTGATTACGATGATAATCACACACATGAACATTCATAACTTGATTTTGGGTGTGGGTGCAAGTGTCAGTGTATTCTTAAGTCACCCACACTCACAAACAAGCGAAAACTTTGTGTATTCCCGTTATCGTGACAATATTGCCGAGATGTTGCTGATTTATATAATGTTAATGTTGGTTCGGCTTCAGCTAATGGATTGAGGTCTTCAACAACATTTCCACATGCACAATTACTGTTATCCAAAATAATCCAATTGCCATTTTCCATAGTCTGTATTAAAGATCCTTTATTGAAAATGAACGGCAATCCTTCATCGAAAATTCTTACCAATCTAAAATCATCTTCAATCTAATAGTGTACCCAACTTTATCACTTTTTCTCTACAATCCCGAAGACAAAAAGAAACAATTTTTAAATTTGTATCTTTAACAATCTAAGTCTGGCGTGGAACATTCAATTTACGTTTACACATAGAATCTCGGTTTGCTTACTTTTTTTGGTGGCTCAATTTTTCTACTATTCTATGTTGATGGAATTTTCTTACAACATCTTATTTGTTAATCATCTAGAGTAGAGACATCCCGGATGGTTTAGCGTACAGGTTTGAAAGTTTTTCTCGGTCACACCATAAGGTAAGAGAAAAGTTCATCTTGCACAGTTCTACCGTGATACAATTATGCTATGCATCATGTTTAGATCCTCTCAATCATGGCAACTTTAGGAATAGTCCGATAAAAACTTCGTAAGACAAAGTAATGACGTATTTAGAATCGGTTCAGCCGGTCTATCGGTCATTTGTCCGAGCCGGTTTCTACCAGGTTTTTCGGAACACTCAAGGTAGTCTATCTTGCTGATTTTTAATAATTTCCATAGTTTTAATGATCAAGTGATATGAACATGGAAGTTTTCAATCGACAAAACTCTAATCGTAGTCTAAACTCCAGCTCTAAATATTGCGTTAATACATTCTCATCATACAATGAGGGTCTCGAATGATGCTGAATGAATTTATTGTGCTCATGAAAAGCTATACAGGTATCAGAAGTTAATTTCGGTATGACTAAAAATTTTTCATTTCGAAATATCAAACACACACTTTCTAGAGTACTCATCACCGACTCTCATAAAATCGTAATAGCTGGTAATATCCAGTTTATGGTTGCATTATAAAATATCAGAAAATTTCGGCTCTATTGTCGAGATTTTGCTGAATACAAGCGTCATGCAATTCTGAAAATATTTACATGTTAAGAAGTCTTAAAATAGGCAGCCTCATATAAAACCTGTCCGTGTATATCAATATGACAAGTTAAGTTTGAAGATTAACTCACACTTATTCAAAATTACCCTTATGTAATTAAGTTTATCTATCTCCCGTAAAGATCAATACTAATATTCCGCTATCCAGTTGATAATTTCGCATGTCTACTTCGTGCGCTGAAGCATAACAATGGCTCACTCTTATTTTCATCAAATTTTCATTTTACGAAAGAGACTTCAAAAACCCAAGGAAAACTTTGTAAAACCATTTCAACAAGTTCAGAGCATGCATTTTCAATACGGATCGTTCTAAAGTGTTTGAGAAATAACAGGAAATTTGATTCATTCATGGTAACCAAGGAAGAGCTTATAAAATTCGTATTTTCCTATCTATGGTTTTGCATAAATTCCCCAAAATTGAGCTAATTATGTTCCATTCATATATAGTTTATAGATATTCTGAAAGAGAACAATTAAAGCTATGAGGTTATTGAATTTTTTCAAAATTGAAGTTTCACAAAAAACCGACGATCTGGAAGCAAGAGGGTCCTCTCTTAATATTAGGATGATTTACAAAGAGAGTTTCCACAAAACATGTTCGACGATGGTAGACACTTTTTTCTCGACATTTTTTATGATACAACTACGAGGGATGATGTCTATACTTGCAGCAATTGAATAACATTTCCAGCACATCAAACATGCATCAAGCTAATCGAGTTCTGATTGAACGCTAACGATTCTACCGATGAGTTCACCCTTGTAAGAATTAGAGGCTATGTTACTAAATAGTGTAAGTCTTCAAGAATGCATTGTTCTCAAGCCACATCTTTACCATTTATTCTTAAGATGTGGCTCTGTTTACTATAAACTTCAGTCAGTTGTACTATCATGTCAAAAAAAGCAGCATACTATTAATAGTATGTCAATGTGAATAGCTTTCATTTCCAAAAGGGATCATATAGATGCATTTTTTAGTTCGATTGGCTCGAAGTCAGTGTCTATATAGCAGAAGGTCCGTGTGTCGAGTCCTTCGAACGGCGCATGTGCTCCGCAATTCATTTGTTAGCTCAAGTTGTCGTCTATGTCCACTAGCTATTGACATTTATAAGTAACAAGAACTACAATGAAACTATAATAGAAAATTAGAGCTGAATGTATTAAGACGAAAAAGAAATATTTTACAATGACATAATTCATAGCTACATGATATTTAGCATGAATAATGAATCGATATAACTGTAAATAAAATGTTTGTCGAATATTTATGAACATTCGTTTAGGAAAATATATAATACACTAGAAAGTTTGTTCAATACAGCAATATCAGTCTTTCCATCTTTGTTGAAATCGTAGGCTACCGCAGGACCTGGACTACTACTGGTTCCATATCGTTTGCGGCTTGGAAATGTCATACTACCATCGCCAAACAGCACTTGCATATTATGCGAAAGTCGACCGACAACTGCTATATCCATTTTGTTGTCATTATTAAAATCGCCTGACATGACATGACTTGGTTCCCTATCAACATCGTACTTCTTTTGAGCTTGAAACGTTCCATTTCGCCAGCCCAATAAAATACTAATACTATGATCACCTAGATTGGCCACTACGAGATCCATGATCTGATCACGATTTAAATCAACTGATATTACAAAGTTCGGGCTAGCACCACATTTAAATGTTTTATGAGTCTGAAAATCACCGTTTCCATATCCTAATAGAACGCTAATATTCTGAGAACCTAAGTTGGTGACTGCTAGATCCGATTTGTTATCGTTATTAAAATCACCCACGACTACAGAACTTGGTCGCTTAGCAGTCGCAAACTGTGTTCCATTTTGAAACGTTCCATCTCCATTACCCAGCATCACAGTGATGCTGTCTGTGTGATAATTGACAATAACCAGATCCAGCATCATGTCATTATTCAAATCATGGACTACTACGAAGTGTGGCAAGGAATAAATCTTCTGTACTATTTCAGATTGGAAGGTACCATATCCATCACCAAGCAGTATAGTAAAACTATGATCGACTGAGTCAGTCAATATCAAATCCAATTTGGTGTCATTATTGAAATCACCTGTTGCCATCCAATTGGCTTTCTTCTGAAGCTTGTACGGCATTCGACCACGACAGGTTCCATCTCCATTGCATATAAATAAAGCGACACTATCAGCTCCCTTATTGACCACCAAGACATCGATTATTTTATCGCTATCAAAATCAGCTGAAGTGATCGCCACTGGATTCGCACCAGTGGCATATTTAATTTGATTTTGAAATGTACCATTCGCACCATTAATCAACATACTGAAGGTGTTTTCTCCAGAATTGACTACTACCAGATCTACTCTACTATCGTTGTTAAAATCGTCTGTTCTCATAGCACTTGGAGAAGTACCAACCTTATACTTTACAGGTCTGTGAAAGCTTCCATTATCATTGCCATACAGCACGCCGATGGAAGATTCATTCGAAAGGCTTAATGCTAAATCTATATGGCTATCATGATTGAAATCAGCTGCCACTACAGCACTTGGACTCATACCAACTTCGTAAACGATTTGAGCCTGAAATGTCCCATCCCCATTGCCGAACAGTACACTAACACTATTATCACCATAGTTGGCCACTGCCAAATCTATCTTATTATCATCGTTGAAATCATGATATATCATAGAGGTTGGTGTTGTACCAACGCTATAAGTCTGTAAATCCTCAAAAATTCCATGTCCATGTGCAAGTGCTACACTAACGGTGTTATCACCTTGATTGATAACTGCCCAATCGAGTTTACCGTCCTTATTAAAATCGCCTGATATGACATAGATAGGTTGCGAGCCAACATCGTACTCTATTTGAATATCAGAAAATGTACCTTCTTCATCACCCAACACTAAACTAACCATATCATCATCATAGTTTGCTACTAATATATCGATTTGCGTATCATTGTTGAAATAACCTCCTGTTACTGACATTGGATTGTTGCCAACAGAATATTCGATCGAAGTCTGAAATGTTTTGTCTGGATTACCAAGCAAGACGCTAATTGTTTCAGCTTCCTCATTCGTTACAATAATATCCATGGATCCATCATGGTTCAGATCAATGTTGAATACAGAACTTGGCGCAAAGTCTGTCTTATAATATAATTCAGTCTCGTAGTCTTTTTTCCCATTACCAAGAAGTATATCGACGCTTTGATCATCATAGTTGAGCAATGCTAAATCAACTTGGTTGACATTTGTGAAATCTCCAAACACTATAGTAACTGGTAATTTTCCAGTGTCAGAAATCTTTGGTGATGGATATGGGTCACTGCATTGATATACTAAAACAACGAGACTCAAAGTTATTGATAGCTCTCACTCTTGTTTTCGCGTGCTGTTCAATTTAACATGCCACAGTATAGCCGTCGGACAGTAAGGTAATACGAAAGTAGAGAACTTGGCCAATGATTCTATTGTCGATCGGGAGACTGCTAGTATGCGTGCGTACGAGTGCAGTGAATTGAAATCAATGTGCGTTGATAATCAGTTGTCTGTGTGTCTCAATTAGAGTGTTCTCCTTACCCACACACACGACAATTTCAAGCCGTGTTTTTACTGAGACCTGCACTCTCACTAATATTGTCGTGCAGCCGCACTTATAATGATACATATCATCAGTCATTCTGGTCCAAGCACATGCGTTTACACACATCTACACAACCAAGGTAGATGTAAATGTATGAAGAAGCAGCCCTCTCCAGCACCAACATCCACATACCCTTACAGAGTACCTTCGCACAATGTTTTTATTTATTATGAAGACTTTTGCTCTAAATTTATCTTGCTCACATCATTTGACACATCTCATGAACTGTGTTTACGCGTTCCTTGAGCTCTTCTAATCCGAAAAGAATTGTTTCTCAAAGCGAACTGTAAATCAAATCACGGTAGAAACAGCACTATCGATCCAGTCAAGCGTACAGGAGCAGGGGCTGGAGTTTCAGAGTGCCGTTTGTGTTAAGCTAGTGTTTGTGAATATGATTTGCTTATTTCCATGCGTATCAAAAGTATCAGCGCAAAATGAGAAAAAATTACATCAGCTCGATAGAAGAGAGGAGAAAGAAACAGTTGTTTCTAGTACTCCGAGCTATCAGTCATTGCTTCAATTTGAAATTTGAATTTTTCCAGGAGGCAAAAGTGGATTTGTTATTTTGATTTATTTAAGGTGCATGGATGCACAGTTCTTGCTATTATTATAACAACTACATCAATAACTTGACGTCCATAATCTGGGATTAGTGCTAATGTCAACTTAACTTAATTGCACCATTCCTAGATGCGACATCAATGTCGTTCATTAAATTATTCAGAAGCTCACTGTGTGTTATAAGCTCAGAGGATTAATAAGTCAGAATGATGTAGTAGGAGTTATACGTCAAGTTTTCCTTACAGGATGTGAAGAAAAAAATGTTTTCCAGGATGCTGATATCAACAACGTAGTAACGTATTTCTATGAAAAATAACAGTTTTTATGATACTAGGATTATTGACAGAAATTGACAAAAGAAAGTGAAGCCGATGTAATTCAAGCGGTAGAGGGTTATTGCATACATCTTGAGTTTGCACATGAAAGCAGCATTGAAGAAAAAGCATACTTGATGTATTAGCTTGTTTTCGTGAGCCAAGAACAGAACCGATAATGATTGCTCCGATAGATAGAATTATGAACAAAGACAGAGGAACCAAAAATCGCTTCTTTTTATACCAGGAACGTCTGCAAAATACAATTACAAGTCTTCATAGCAAACAACGCCTTTAAACGAACATAAAATGAAACTCACTTAGGTTCCGGATATAGATGTGCACCTAAAAAGATAAAATCTGACATTTCGAATACTAAACTGAAATCTTAGAGGTTACCTTCGAAAGGAGGCGCAAGTAAGGTTTGCTCCGGTATGATTTGTTTCAAGTGAATGATATAAAGATCAGGTGCTGGACTCAATTGTGATTGTACTATCATATGAGTACCAGGCAGAAGAAGAATTTCTTCTTCTGTAACGAAATGAGAATGAGCACGTACTATTCGTCCATTAATGGCTTCAACAGAAAATAGTGTTCTCGCTCCAGCAGTGCCCAAATACATGTTATTTTCCAACACAGTCAGTGATGTCGTGCAAGAAGAAAATGACCACCATGTCACAGAAGTACCAGGTGAAAATTCTGCGCTCAAATCTTTTGTAACTCCTCGCCATACAGTCAAAGGTGGGACACACGGAATTTTGACCAGTGCGCTCAAGAATAATTTTAGATACTTAAAATAAGGCCGAAGCTCTTCACGATTACCGTTCTTTAGAGTGTAATTGAGCATTGAATACAGGCTTCGATGTGGTCTTTCCCATTCGATCGTGTACAGACGAATCGCGGCACTCTCATCAATTGTCAACCCATCGAGTGGGTTCTCAGGAGTTTCGTCTAGCGCCAGCTGCACATAGGCTGATAAATTATAAAGAATATCAATTAATGGATCACATGCTTCAGCAAGTGGCAACAAAGGCTCCTCAGCATACTCAACAATTGGAGCAAAACCCGTAGCACTATTATTCAGTTCATTGAGAGCTTGTTGCATTTCGTCTAAGAGGATATTTCCTAAAACTTGATACCTTTCACTCATTTGTTGATTAGTCGCAACACGACCATCCTTCATTACTTCTACTGTTTGACTTTGATTGTCATCAGATTGTTCTTCACTCAAATCTGCTTTTACTCTGTCAAGTGTGTATAATATTCCACTTTCAATCTTGCTGTCTTCGTGCATGATTTTTCGTTCATACTGTGCATCATGATCTTGATACAACATTGCTACATGATCACTGTGCGTGTTAATTTCTTCTTGGTTTATACTTGTAGGACGAGTCGCGTCTGTAGCATCCAACGTGATTATTATATGCTGGTTTGAGCTGTCGACACCTTCTTTCTGCGCTTTTTTTTTCTTTTTCGATTTATCCATCTGCTAACTTGTTGATGAGTAGTCATCCTGAAAGTCGAAATTAAATTTTTTTATTCGTCATAACAATAAGTAATGGATGAGGCAAAAGTTTTGTATTTCATTTTAAAATCTTGCAAAATACCTATTGTTGCTTTTTTCTCAAATATGTCATGATGTCATCTATAAACTTTATCTGCTTAGTCTGTCAACTGCATATAACAGAATAATCACTTTAACTTCTCAGACATTTCTACTGAATGAAAAGTTCTTGAATAACATTCTGGGATACACATTTCACTTTTGTTCATTCTATAACAAAGCTAACAATGAAGAAACGCAGCAATGCAGCTGATTTGAAGTTATTTCAACCTGTAATCGAACAATAACAACACAACAATACATGTATATCTTGCCCTTTCATTCGCAGATAACTTCTATAGCGCAAAAAGTAGGAGAAACGTGAATGTTATTCACGATTATTTATTTCCAATGTTTGAGATAATGAATTATAAATAGAGTTCGCATCCAATCTAGTTTTTCATTCTACAGAAGTCGTTGCGAACGAATGGGCGTGAAATGTATAAGGTGCCGGAAATGGAAAACGAAAGAACAACTTTCTGTCTTCCTTGATATATGGTTAGGTGTAGCGTAACGAGCTGATTAAGAACATCAACATCTTCTTTTTTAGAATGAGGTTTTAGACGAAAATTTTCAGTTTTGTTCTCATGACTTGCTTGTTTTCAAAAGTAGGTCAATTTCTTGTTGATTTCAAATTCATCGTGCAATAGTCAATCTAGTAAAGGCATTTATGACGCTATTCAGATATATAACATGATCATAATTCAAGTGCTATAAGACTGGAGAGGTCCAAAGTTCAGACAAGCATTTTGTAATGCTATCTAGTTTTTTTTTGACTAAGAGATACAATCGACTTCTACATCTAATTAGAATCGTTATAGGTGATATTCATAAAGTAAAGCTCGAGTTTTTCGAAACTTTACTCAATTGGTTAGAAAACTCATTTTTATTGAAATTCATGTCAGACGGATCTTTTCTGAATTTGTCTCTCTCGTATTCAAAACAAACATATATTCGAGATGAGCACAGAAAACTGAGCTAGCACATAGATATTTCTAAATATTTTTAGAACTCTGGTTTTCATCCAAAAATTTTCTCTAATCTACCTCAGACTTAGGTAGAAAAGTCAATATACTCTAAATATCGTCGTTAATCAATACTCATATTTGTACTTGCGATTCACAAACATGCCGCACATGCGCGATCTTCTTTGGATAGTTGAAATGGTGTTTTGAACTAATGAAGTTTTTTACCTAACCCTGAGGCGAAACAGGGAGAAATTCTTAGAGGAAAATAACACTTCCAAGAATACTCTGAAACAACTAAATATCTGCTCAGTTTTCTGTGCTCATCTCGAATATATGTTTGTTTTGAATACGAGAGAGATAAATTCAGAAAAGATCCGTCTGATATGAATTTCAATAAAAATGAGTTTTCTTACCAATTAAATAAAGTTTCGAAAAACTCGAGCTTTACTTTATGAATATCACCAATAACGATTCTAATTAGATGTAGAAGTCGATTGTATCTCTTAGTCAAAAAAAAACTAGATAGCATTACAACATGTTTGTCTCAGCTTTGGACCTCTCCAGTCTGATAGCACTTGAATTATGATCATGTTATATCTGAATAGCGTCATAAATGACTTTACTAGATTGACTATTGCACGATGAATTTGAAGTCAACAAGAAATTGATCTACTTTTGAAAACAAGCAAGTCATGAGAACAAAACTGAAAATTTTCCTCTAAAATTCATTCCAAAAAAGAAGATGTTGATGTTCTTAATCAGCTTGTCACGCTACACCTAACCATATATCAAGGAAGAAAGAAAGTTGTTCTTTAATTTTCCATTTCCGGCATCTTACACAGGTTATATTCTTATTGTTTGATGGCAAGTCTACTAAAGATGACCGAAAACAAGAGATCGAAATGTCTTGCAATCAGTCGTATTGCTTTATTTATTCATTGTCAAACATTTGGCTATGACGAAACAAAACAAAAATAAACCCAAATGCATCGACAGATAGTCCATTCAAAACTCTATTGATCTGTTGACAATACCTTTTTGGAAAGCTTAACTTAAAATCTGTTGTTAGCATAAAATATTCTTTGATGCCTAAATGCATCAAAATTAAGTGTTTCGACCTACAGTGTTTACCATATCGACAACTGTTTACACATGGGCTGTGTCATGTTTCATGTTGAAATTATGGAATATTGTGCCAGCATTATATTGCACATTGATACATAATAAACGAGTGAGCATCATTCCTCAATCATTTTACATAAATACATCTATCTACTTCACGTTCTTTTTTCTTTTTTCTTCTTTATTCTATTTTTTCTTCTATCTGTTCCTCGTTAATTATATCTTGGGTCAACATATTGGCTTGTCTTCTTTTCTCCGTTAAACTAAGGCTTTTTTTGATATATATATATATTTCAACAAATAAAATTATCATTCTGAATTTGCCTTTGTCTTTTTATTGTGAAAATTCTCTGTTTTTACTTAATAAACTATTCATTCGTTTCAGTTTGTCGGGTTCAAAAAGTACATCTTATCAAACTGATATGAAAACCATTGTCTCTAAAGCAGTGTGTTATTTCGCATAAAAAGAATTTTTTCGGATATCATAAATAGAAAGGTGCTCCATCTATGCTTATTAAAGAGTATATTCTCTTGCAATCAAGAATCAAAGCATGTTTTATTTCTATATTTCATCGTTTTTTATTATATTTGCAGGTTCTGTTTAGCTGTTTCTGTAAAATATTATCGATAGTTTATATTATAACAAAAAATTAGACTTACGATTCGAATCATGCTGAAATGTATAGCTATTACTTTCTCATTGATCAGAATAGGTTTTGATACGACTATGGTTTTAGCGAAGCAATCGGTTTTTTCTTTCTTCTTATTTTTGCTTTCTTACAATTATTAACGAAGCGTGACATCTTCATAAGGTAAGCAATACTTACGAGTGTAACTGTAATTGTAATAATCTCACTTTCTTTTTTTTCGTTCGTTCTTCATATATTTTTGCTTGTCCTCGTTTGTTTTTATTTTCATATTAAAGAAAAAATGCATTAATATCACTAGACTTAAGCGTATGATAATCGATTCTCAAAAGAAAATGGCTCGATATAGTTATTTTCCATTATCTTTCTTTTTCGAATTTGAACAGCTAGGAAGAACCGATACTATTTTTTGGATTGTTTAATGCTATTTAAATAACTCTCCAAAAAAGTTTTAGAAAAGTCCCTCTATGAGTCATTGCATGATAAGGAGGACTTATTCTGCTCAAATAATATCCAATTATGGGCAAAATTACGATCAATTGTCAAAAAAGCTGCTCAGTCAATTATCGTCGATTTAGCTAATTGTGATATATGTCTATAGAGAAAAACATTTGATGAATTAATATTAAATCTGTTCAGAAAAATATTGTTTTATTCTCTAAATATTCAATTTTTTTGAGTGCTCTTTCATCACATAAAACACTTTCTTTTTGCACTTTTATGACAGTCATATCTTATCAAGGATATATTTGTAGGACTTAAAATTTTTACTGTGAACGCGTCTCATGTTCAAGTATGTCTCATAAAAATATGAATTGAAATGATTTAAATGTTTAAAAATTGACTGATACTGTCAAATATACAGAAAAAGTGTCATTGTTCGACATTTTATTAACATAAATATCTCAAGAGTAGGTAAAGTTAAAAGGTTCAAAGTGCAGCCATGGAGTGATCTCATCGAGTGTACACTCTGAAAAATAAGTCAGCTCTGTTTAGATATTTAGTCGATCGAAAGACCCCTTCAACGAAATCGTTGTTTTGATGGCAAGATTGCAATAGACGATTCCTCTTGATGAAGTTATATAGTAAATATTTATTTTCTATTGCTCGATGATGAAAATACGCCATGTCAAGATATACATTTTCAATCGGCTAATTTTACATTAGGACAATTTGATAGTCTTCGTTCACTAACATTCAATAGTGTTAGTTTAGATTCGAAGATTAATCAATATTTCTTTCCAGATTTGTATCATTATCATCATTTAATGTATCTAAAATTTGTCAATTGCCGACTATTCCGTGTGAACGGACACGATTTTCAAGAGATAATTAATCAAATCGGAAATCTACCGAAACTGACTCCTTTATATTATGATAACTATTGTAGATGTGAAAACGAGTTTTCTATTCCCAATTTCGTATATAAATCGTTACAGTGCTTAACTATTTGAAGGAATTATTGGGGTTCGTATCAATTTTTTAGACAAGATAGCTTATTTTTGAAAATTTTCGATATCAATGGGAACTTATGAAGAAGATGATCTTCCTCTTGCTCGTTAATTGATACCATCACGACAAAATCAATTAGTTACAAAACTCGCTCTATCACTTATAAGTTTACGATCATAATGTCGATTTAGTGATATTTCTATTTCTCTAGCCCTCTTTTTCATATTTCAATTTCACAAAGAAGTGATGAAACTATCAGAAGATTAATTATCATACAACAAAAGAAGAATGCAGGGAGGAAATCTTCATGGTTTTTGTCATAAATAGTGTGTTTTTTTCTTGCAATACATATTATGCTATGACAAAACCTGGTCATTATACTATCCATATACTTTTCTTGAGAATAAAACCCATTTTACAACCGTTGCACTAAAAACCTACTTTGATATATTCACAAGTAGGTTTCTATGGTTATATTTATTGTTTCTTTAAGGATATTCTAAGTATCAAAAGACATTTTTGTAGATAAACTTTTAGATGAAAACTTTTTGATTTGATTTTTGCTAGGAATACCTTCCTAAACGCCGAAAATCCGTTAGAATGATCAGGACTCTATAAGGAAATTGTATGGTGAGAAACATTTTCAGATTTCTTCTAAGTTCCTTAAGGCCTGATAATAAGCCAAATATCACTTTGACTTATCGAATGGATGTTCTCTCGTTAGTTATAGAGAAGCTCATCTTTTCTACAATAATCAATATAGCATATTTTCTTTATAATGCTTCATTTTCAAAGTACTTATATTCTTCTCAAATACCTTTCTCTAGGTGTCTAGATAATCAATACTCTCCATAAAATTCTCCGATAAAACGTTGTTTTGTCCACCATATCAACATTTGCTTTCCTTTTCACTCGAAATATGTTCAGCTTTTGTGGCAATTAGTATATCAATAAAGACAAAGTTGAAAGTTTCTCATGTGAAAAACACATTTTCTTTTCTGTAAAAATTATTTTTTCATTCAATATTCGTTTTGAAATCTATTCAGAATAAATCTTAACGAGAAAGTAAAAAAGAAGAATCATCATATATTTGGCAGATAAAACAAAAGAACAAAAAATAGCTTATAAAATGGCAATATGTGAAAGAATATAAAAACATTATTCAAACCTGCATTCAGAAGAGCAAAGACATTAAACTTCATGAGTTATCATTGATAGCAATCAACCTATACAACTGAATCATAAAAAAATCGACAACAATAAGCAAAATAAACCTTTGTAAGTATGAATACCAATGTAAAATATTCTGTAAATTTATCTGATTCGAAAATGATTATTTAATAATACTTAGTTTTTGATAATCGGTGCTGTGATTGCAACTGCATTTGCTCTTGGACTTGGTCTCATCATTGGCCATTTTGGTATAACTAAGAAAACAAGTGGTACATCTTGGAAATATAACCGTCTTACAAGGCCAGCTGATCCAAAAAACTATCGAACATTTATTGATTCTATTGAGGCAGCTAATATTGAAGCAAATCTTAAGTAAACTTAATCAAACTATTGATTTCAATAAAAATATCTATGCCATGTAAAATTATATAGAAATCTCACTTCACGTTCTCATATGGCTGGTCTACTTGAAGATTTAGAAAGTGCTCAAGTCATTGAAGAACAATGGAAACTTGATGGTTTACAAGTAACTCAACCAAAATACAATGTTCTTCTTTCGTATCCAGATGATAGTGAGCTTAATCGGTAAGTATACAATAGCAATCTCTTGATTGACTATTAGTCATATTTCTATTCAGAATTACTCTCAAACTTTCTAATGGAACGGTTATATTTCAAACAAGTGGAACTGAAAAAAGTCTACGATCCAACACAACCAAAAACAGTCAATCCATTTCTTGCTTATACACCTAATAGAACTGTTTCTAGTGTAAGTTAAGAAAAAATATTCATCATTCATTTCATGTTAAAGAAAACATTCATGGTGAATATAATAGACGAAATTATTCTACGCGAATTATGATGAACTAGAAGATCTTCACAAATTAGCATCTATGACTGGAAATGCTAGTCTTAACGGTAGTATCGTTATTATGAGATATAGTCGTATTTTTCGAGGGGATAAGGTATTTTTTTTCTATTATGGATGATACATACAATGATCCAGCTAATTATGCGTCTTTCGGAATAACAGCTGATCAAGTCTATGATCAAAAGTGGTATATGCCTCCACGTGGCGTACAACGAGGGCCAGCATTCACTTCGAATGGTGATTTTTTGACTCATATATCCATCGACAGGTTTTGCAATATTTTTGTTATCAGCTTAGGATGTATAGTGTATTTCAATACTATAGATTATATATATAGTGGCAGAAGATAGTGCCAGTTTTCTACCGAAAATTTCAGTTCAACCAATCGGTTATAGTGAAGCTGAAATTTTTCTTCAGTGAGTAACCGTACTTCTTTACTTTTAATTGATAAAAAAAATGTCACATTTAGGTATTTGCGAGATGATGAAGTAGATGCTCAATGGCATGGAGGTTTACGAAATGTAACGTATCGTTATGGTGGAGAACTTCGTGATGCATCGTAAGATGATTGAATACCAAGATCTTTAAAAACTATGGTTTGTTTTCAATAGTACAATTCAATTGAAATCAGACAATTGACAGAAAAGAAAAGATACTTATAATGTGATTGGAATCATCACAGAAGAAATTGAACCAGATTGGTTGAAGGTTGTTCTGCGATAATATGAAACTGTTTATTGTTTTAGATCAATATATTGTATTAGGCAATCATCGGTAAGATATAAAGCATTTGAGTGCTTTTAAGATTTTTTTTTGAAAAGAAAAAAAGCAGCATACTGTATCTATGTTGCTCTTTTTAAACATTCAAGAGTTAATCGTGAATCATTAACACTGCAATAGGTGAACTTCAAGTTCGTTTGATCCTTTTTTTTGCATTAGCTATGTAATTGAACACTTCTTACTCGATCATTTTCAAGCTGTTTTATCTTTCAGAGATGCCTGGAATCTGGGCTCTGTTGATCCAACGAGTGGAACAGCTACTATGCTAGAAGTAACGCGAGTACTTGGTCAAATGTATAAGAATGGTAATTCATGACGCTCGTATTTCAACGATACTATAATCGACATTTACTTTAATAGAATTTCGACCACAACGTAGTTCAATGTTTTGTTCATGGGGTGCTGAAGAATATGAACTCACTGGATCGGTAGAATACGTTGAGGTATAGCAATTATCTAATTCTAAAATTAGAAGTCACGTAAGCGGTAGAGTCACCAGACCAACCTAGACATAAGTCCATTTTATATTCAATAGATAATGTATTAGATAGATTCGAAAATTTCATTTTCTTTTCACAAGAGATTCATTGTTACAAGATCATTCCATATTCTATCTACTACCAAATCATGTCTAATAGGCACACACGATCGAGCCTCAAGTTTGAGTTCAGCTAACACCTATCGTAAATTCACGTTTCTTAAGCTAGGAAAGATTCAAACATGTTTAGTTTCTCATTCGATAAACAGTATATACTTAAACGCTTTTGAATCTCCATCATTGCTAAACGTTGCCCATTATGAGTTCAATAAAAGAGAAACTAGTCATGTTTCATCTAAGTGATATTCCAAAATTGGTGTTCTCTCAATATTTTTGTCTCTAGACGAGGTTATTACCAAAACCGCTGAAGACGTTCCGTGCCCTTGTTAATCAGTATGCTAGAATTATAATTTGATGTTTTTTTTTGAAAGGAATATGTGAAAGTTCTCGGTGCTCGAACCGTCTCTTATTTGAATGTAGATATGGCAGTTCAAGGTAAGATATGTGTTAAGAATTGAAACGATTACTTTACTCATGCTTGAAACAGGAAATCATACGGTTTTCGTCAGAACCTATCCATTGTTATTCGACATTATAATTGAAGCAGCAAAAATGGTAATAATATATACTACAAAAATACTGTATTTCTCTACTTTACATTAAAGATTCCAAATGCATATGATTCTGATGGTCAAACTATCTATGATAAATGGATGAAGGTTGATTGAAATCCTGTAACTAATGAACCAAAGTAAAGAAACCAAAATCTCACTTCTAGTTGTCAATAACATTTTTTGTGAAGCATAAGATATGATCTTGGATCAGGTAGTGATTTCTTCAGTTTTGATCAATTAGTGGGTTCATCAAATGTGGATGTACGATATATGTTGAATCCTAGTGATCACGGTAATATGAGCTCATATCCACTGTATCATAAATCGTATGAAGTTTTTTGGATGGTGAAAAAGTTTATTGATCCAGATTTTGCAGTAAGTTTATTCTAAAACAGTACTTTTTTTTGTGTTTTTAAATGGATTTCAAGCGGGCTCATAGAACAATGGGAATTGACAATCTTCAACAAAAAGATCCTAGAGTTTTCGGTAGAAATTTTACTAATGTTAGATTCTTATTAAAAGAATTCAAATTCTCTTTTGAGATTCATTTCGAAATGCTATCAATGATTATGGTAAGGCTGCTCAAGATTTTGTTACACGATCGAAATCAATGGATTCAAAAAAGTAAAAATTGTCAGTGATGAAAATCAAAAAAGTGAATTTTGGTTTCTTTAGTCTATATAAAATTCGAGTATATAACGACCAAGTATTGCAACTTGAACGTGCATTTCTAAATCCACTAGGACAAGGTCGTGATTATACTGATTTTAAGTACGAGATAATTTTTGCTTCGAATAATTTATTGTATGAATAAATTTCGTTCTAGACATATTATCTATGCACTAGCCAAAGGTAATCCATATGCAGCAACTGGTTGTCCTGCTGTCAGTGATGTTATTGCTAGCGGTAATTCAACAGAAATCACGAATCCAATAGCCGTAGCTACCTATTTTGTGCACGGTGTTTTATCTGTACTAAAGGAAGTTCATAATTTTTTTTCTTCTTATTAATGATATTACATAAATACGTATAATCATGAACAAAGATTGTCTCAATCATTCTATTCGTCTATGACAAACTAGTGATTCAAATATTTACAGGACTAGAGTATATGGAAAAACACATAGTGAAATTGTAATGTTTTACGTTTTATTTATAGGATGTTACACCATTGAGCACCATGGTTGATGCCTCTCACACTAATGAAAGCTCGGGATGAAAAGATAAGTATAAAATATTGAAACAATGTGATATGTTTATCCTTTGTTGAACAAAACTAAAATATTTAGAGCATTCCGATTTTTCGGGTTTTTTGAAATAATTTTCATTGAACATATATTTGATTTACACATGGATGGTTTGAATGAGTGTAGGTGTGGTTGTCGAGAGCTGGGAACCATGCCCGAAAAACGAGAAATTGTTCCATTTACAGAAGAAATGTGTCCCTCCTGATAAAGTCAAACAGAAATGCTTTCCAAGAAACAGAATTCATTCTCTATGGAGCTATTTCGAGTAGAAACCTGTGATCTATCTTTATTTCCATAGGGAGATTTCAAAACATACAACAAAATATCATTTATTTTCTTTTTCATCTTATGCATAAATTGTAGTAGAAATGGTACTTTTTTGAATTTTCCGATCGATTGGTCCTATCATTCACTGCTAAATTGCTACATTACTTTTTTTCATCTCACGGTATTATTCAGTACTCAATCTATTGTTGTTTGAACTTATTTTGTGCAGAGTTTTGTATGAGACGAGATTTTTCTTGTCCAGAGCATTTGATCAGTGCAAAAACGTTAAGCTTATACTGATTTGGCGTGGATGTGGTTGTGAATATTCTATTTACACGTACTTGTAGATACACCTCACACCCACACTCGTACCCATGTGAGGAAACTTAGAGATCTGATCAAACTAAAAGTGATATAAAATTAATTAAAAATCGATTAAGAGCGATGTAAATCGGTGGAGGTCAGTTGAAGATTTTTTCATGGATGACAAACAAAATCAAATATAATCAATTTTTTTATTGAATTTTAATCGATTAGAATCAAAATAATCAATGGAGTTTTGACTTTTAATCATTTTTTATTCGCTTTAAATAGGATAATATCCATAATTTTTTATATAGCAGTGTGATATTCTCTTTGCATAACACAACATTCATTATTCATAAGTATAAAATCATGACCAAGATTATAACCAGCTGAAAAATCAAAAGAAGTAAATGTTTGATAAATAATAGATGTTGTTTTTATGTTGATTGGGAATATCCAGCACATGGTGAGTATATTTTACTCCAAATATCCGCTCTTCGATTACTATATTTCTAGCTTTCACTAAGTGTTCGACCAATAATACTTAATAGTATTGAGACAAAAATAAAGAAGTACCGTAAAAGATACATACTTGATTAATATTTGACTTTCGTTAGATACTCAATCAGATCAGCAAGATTTTATCCCTGAATTAGCTTGATTATTTTATGCCAGAGAAAATAATTAAAACAAAAGACAAAATAAGAGAAAAAGAGGCCATGTTACTTATTTGTCGACTTTTGATTGTTCTAAATGAAGTTCTACTTTTTATCGCATGGGAAAAAATAGCAATTATTTAATCAATGTAAATCACTTGTTATATTCTAGTACGATAACATATAGTTATACAAGAGTGAATTTCGTTTTCAGAGATAAAAGAAAAATATGTAAGATGGAATATTCTTTGATAAAAACTAAGGATGGTTCATTTAGGTTATACATGACATTAGTAATACTGTCGATTTGAACCATGGCAGACATTTCTCATGAGGATTTTCAATAATATTGCACTTATATCAAACTAGAAAACACCATTTGCATTCAATAAATGACTGATCAATTGTTTATCACATCGATCGATTTATTTATTGTTTCTGGTCAAACTATTTTTACATGCCAGAGTGTGGGTATGGATCATTATTTCCTTCAGATCAGCACTCACACTCACAGCCTTTCACACAGATACTCATCCCGCTCAAACTAGGGTATAAATATATTTCTACAACAGCTGGATAACGTGCGATTGGAATTTTGGAGAAGAAAACTGGATTGGAGGCTGAATGATGCATGGTCTCTTAATGATTGGAAAGATTGCCATTGAATTATAATATAGAAACCTGTTCAGAAATTTTGCCTAAAAACGACTTTGAAAATATATTACTTATAATGAAGCAGTATATTCGATCGAAGTATATAGTTTGTATGGACACCTGATTCGTAGAACGTGCTTCATATCATGCAAGCGATCTTTTCAATATAAAACGTGAAAAACAAAAAATAACTTCGAGCTCTAACGAGCAAGAATATTTGACAACAATTTGAAAACTTCTCATCATCTTGAAGACATCTTCACTGGATTAAATAAAAAACAGAGTATGGAAAACTAAGCGAAAAATCAATTAGATGATGGTTCGGTGTAGATGTAACTTGTTTGGCTCGTGAACACCCACACTCTTTTTCTTTTTGATAATACCACAAATCCCTCTAGATACTTTTGAATTACAGTATATTCATACGATTGTATGATCGGTAGACTATCTTTCTTTACAATAAAGCATTATGATACAAGAATGTACTACTATGAAAGCTCTAGAGTTGCACTCTCTTTTACTAGTTTTATTGGAAATGATTTGATTTTTGTAGTATGCTTTCAATGAAAATAACAGTTGTCTTTGCCAGTTCTCACTGTGAGCAACCATAACAACCTACAGTCTTTCAAAACAGATGAATGCACTAAAAAATCGTATCATTGTGACTTTGATCTCAATATAGCATTAATTTATCGCCAGCTGATTTCATAATAGAAGACAGAAGCTTTAAAAGTACTTTTTAAAGCTGACATAGATGTGGGATGTGGGTTGAGATACGATGAACACCCACACTCAACTATAAAAGTGCTTTTTGAAATTATGCTAGGGTTGCGGGTGAAAATCTAATTTTTAACAATATTCACCCACATCCCGTTTTTTACTTTTCTTAAGTTGTACGAGTCAAACCATTAGGCGTATTTCGAACAAGCGTTGACTGGTTTTCATTTTTTTTGTCTGCAGAGTTACTAGTACTGTGGATCGTTTGATGTTGTTTTGACTTGTCCATTTATCGCCAGCTTGTACTGTCGGTAAAAAAAAGTGACATTAAATCTGATGGTGGTCATGTATAGATCTTTTCAAGCAATAATGTTATAATCGGTTTAGCTAGACAATCAGATAATGCGCATTTTTCGACGATAATTTATCGATTTCGTATATTTGAATGTCACACAGGCAAGTACACATTTTCCATTACAAATTCCAGTAGCAATCTTTTCGAATAAGGTATCAATGCCAATCATTTGAAATATATCAAGTCAGCATTGATATTTTAGTTGCGCTAGTCGTTGATAAAAAGCGGTAATGTTTGCATGACGACCCCATTGATAAGAAGTGATGATTTGTGGATGAGTATTAGCAATTGATATATCGTCTTTCAACGTGATTTGTTTGTCTTTCTCATCGGTCGCAGTCGGCTGAAGAAAGAGCAAATTATTAATTTGTGGTATAAGCCAATTCTAATATTGCTCGATAATCATATCTGTATCAAGTACTAATTGATAGCAGATTCTACCTGGCAGTTCAGTAAATCTTTTCGTTGGCCAATAATTGCCTGCGTTGCATTCGCGATCATAAAAACGAATATACAAATATTCGTTAATCATAACATGAAGAGAACCTTCAGAAAGCCATTATTGTTTTTCTATTTGTAAAGATATCAAAAGTTTTCTGTACTGACACATAGATGTACTTTACGTAGGTATTTATTCGATCGAGCATAGGAAGTATTCATACAACATATAATAACTTTAACTCCTCGAATGCAAGTATCAATTTTACCAAACCCTTATTCACTACCAATCATTTGATCTGAATTCATCCAACATGAATAACTTGCTGCTTCTAAAGGATTCTTGAGAGCTTGTTGGGTTCTCCATTGATAAGAGAGAAAAAACCGGTGGCACATGTTTGATTTTTATTGAAATATCATCAGGAATAAGGTCACCGGCAGTTACAACTTCTTCTCGAATTATTTTTGCAGCGTCTTGTCGATCGATCTCTTTTCATCGATTTTACGTGTTATAAATCATTCATTGAGTAGATTCATACATGAATCAGCTTGCAAAGATCACCGTCTCAATTCACTTTCGGAATAACCGAAAAAGTTTGTCAAGTAAACGCCAATCATTGTCAACTATTACATGGATTAATTGACATAATTGACATTCCCATTCATTTGGCACATTACTCAATGTTTTGATATCGATTCGTTCAACAGTATTTGAACTTGTGCGGTAACATTAGTCAAATTTGTAGCGGCCACATCAACTTGTACATCAAGATTAGTTGTCTATATGAAAATTAGAAAAATAATATAAATTCGTATTACGATGTATTCATATGAGACAAGCGTGTAGGTAGGGGTGGTTGTGGATGTGGGTTTGAGCTACACCCACACCTTCTGGAAATAAAACTTGAGTACTTTGAACACAATGACACGTACCTCGAGCTGAGAATAATACAATAATTTGTTTTGTGAATTAAAAAGAGCACCATTTCAAATGTTGAATCTTGGTCTAAGACTTTATTCGTTAGATTCCTGCACATTTTACTTTCCAGGAGTCTTGATTTCAGAAAAACAGAAAATACTGTTTCAGAAAAAAGTTAGAAATTTATACTTGGAACTTGATGGATTTTGAAAATATGAATAGGAGAGAAACTGAATGTAGAATAAATCCAACAACGTTTCTAGATTATTGGTGAATGGATAATGCATTCTAGATGATTTGGTCATTCATTAGAAAACACGTACATGCAACAGCAAAACATATTCCCATCAATACTTTATTCTTATAATGATGATATTCAAACGAAAAGAAGTACATTTCAAAAGTCAACTGGATTCATTGAGTTATATCTTAAGTTCTTCTGAAAGTCTTTTAATATTCGATTTCATCTTTCTTAGATTATCATGTTCAGATGAGTGACATTTCGTGAAGATAGCTAATGCTTGTTGATAGTAATCAAGTGCCAACGTAGGTTTATGAAGCTTTTCGTATATTTCGCCTATATTTGATAAACCATCGCCAATGTCTTCATGATCTGGTTGTAGAACTTTGAGACGCATCATAAAACAGTTCTGTTCATGTGTGAGAGCGAGTTCATGGTTCCTTCTTGTTTTTTGTACTTGTGACAAACATGTTAGTGCGTGAGCAATGGAAAGATCTTGTCGAGGTGACGTAGTTTCTTTAATTAATAAACATCTTTCCAAATATTCAATAGCTAGACTGAATTGAGACTCTCGATTCAAGTTAGCAGCGATCCAGTATAGACAATCAGCTATTTCAATAGGATCATTGGAAATATATTCTTCAAATATGATCAATGCTTGTTGATAGAAGTCGAGAGATTCGTCATATTCCTCTTGCTTAAACAGAGTATGACCAATGTTCTTGAGAGTATTAGCAATTGTGAACTGATCACTAGATGAGTTAGCTTTGAGAATCGTCAACGCTTCGTGTTGGAATTCGAGAGCCTCATCATATTTCTCTTGTTCTTTTAAAGTTTGAGCCATGTTACTCAAACAAATAGCGGTATTCGAATGACTGGGTGAATGCTTCTGGTAAAACATTAGTGCTCGAGTATAAAAATCCAGAGCTTCATCATATTTTTCTTGATCATTCAGTATATAGCCAATGTAATGCATACATTGAGCAAGCCTTTCATGACCAGATGGATGATAATACTCATAGATTGTTAATGCTCGTTGATAGAAATTGAGAGCTTCATCGGGCTTTTCTTGCTTATGCAGGACGTTACCGATGTATTGCAGACTTTCAGCAATATCAACATGCCCAGATGGATAGCACTTTTCGAGGATTGTTAGAGCTTTTTGGAAACATTGCAGAGCTAGATCGTATTTCTTTTGACGAATGTAAATATCACCGATGCCGTTCAAGCTATTTGCAATTGTTTCATGGCAAGAAGAATATTTTCCCTCTCGAATGACCAATGCTCTCTGTTGAAACTCAATGGCTTCTTCGTACCTTTTTTGCTCTCTCAGATTATCAGCAATATTTATGAGACCATTAGCAATATCAACAGGATTCAATGGGCAACCTTTTTCGTGGATTGCCAGTGCCCGTTGGTCGAACTTGAGGGCTTCATTATATTTCTTTTGTTTATAGAGAATAGTAGCAATGTTGCTCAAACTGTAAGCAATATTAACATGATCAGAATGATAATGATGCTCTCGTATCATTAATGCTCGTTGTTGAAACTCCATAGCTTCATCGTACTTTTCTTGTTCGCTTAGAGTATTGGCAATATTTCTCAGGCTATCAACGATATCATCATGGTTAGTTGTATCGAATTTCTCTCGAAATGTTAGTGCTCGTAGATGGAAGTCAATAGCTTCATCATACTTTCTTTGTTCATAAAGAGCTCTTCCAATGTTGCCCAGCACGGTAGCGATGCCAATATCACTAAATGGATTGAATTTCTCTCGGATATCTAATGATCGTTGATAGAAATGAATAGCTTCATCATATTTCTCTTGGCTATATAAAACATTACCAATAGAATTCAGACTCCTAGCGATGTCGATATGTAAAAGTTCATGATATGTTTCTTGAATAGTCAAAGATTTTTGATAAAACTGAAGAGCTTCATCGAACTTCTTTTGTTCGTATAGAGCACTACCAATAGAGTTTAAAGTATGAGAAGTTTCAATGTGACCATCAGGATACGATTTCTCTTGCATTGAAAGTGCTCGTCGATAATAGTGAATAGCTTCGTCATACTTTCTTTCATTGTACAAAACATGACCGATACGATTCATAGTATTGGATATGATGACACAGTTTGATGGATAATATTTCTCTTGAATTTCTAATGCTTTTTGATGATATTCAATCGCTTCAATAAAACGTTTTTGTAGACGGCATGTTGTACCAAGATTATCTAGGGTTGCTGCAATCTCCACATGACTATTTCGATAATACTTTTCTTGTGTTTCCAGTGCACGTTGATAGAACTTCAAGGCTTCATCATACTTTTTCTGTTCAATGAGAACATTACCGATGTGATTAAGGCTATTAGAAATCTCATTCTGGCATGATGAACAATGTTTTTCTTGTACTTCAAGTGCTCGTTGATGATAATCGAGAGCTTCATCATATTTTTCCTGCTTGCATAATATAATCCCAATATTGTTCATATAAAATGCAATGGAAGAATGATTAGATGAAGTGTATTTTTTGATAGTTGCGAGTGCTCTTTGTTGGAAATCAATAGCCTCACTGTATTTTCCTTTCCCATATAGGTTGTTGCCAATATTGTTGAGACTCGTGGCCATTGAAGCATGACCTAACGGATAATAGCTCTGCTGCATCGTTAGTGCTCGTTGACAATAGCATAGAGATTCATCATATTTTGATTGACAAATTAATACATGAGAGATGAAATTAAGAGTTTCAGAGATGTTTGCATGATAATGTGGATAATATTTCTCTTGAAGTACTAGTGCTCTCTTATGGAAATCTAAAGCTTCAGTATACATTCCTCGTTCACTTTGTACGTAGCCAATGTTGTTTAGAATACAAGTTATGCCTTTATGACCTGGGAAAAGATATTTCTGTAGGATTTGCAGTCCTCGCTCATACAACATCACAGTTTTTTTATATTGTCCTTGTCCATAGTGAACGTGTCCCATTCCATTAAGATTATCAGCGATATCGACATGATCAAATGGATAATATTTTTGCAGGATTGTCATAGCTTGTTCATAAGTCTTAAGAGCTTCATCATATTTTCCTCTAAGATAGAGAATGTAACCTATGCTGGCGAGAGTAGAGGCGGTGTATACATGACCATTTGGATAATATCTGCTACAGACTGAGATAGATCGTTGACAGAAATCGAATGCTTCATCGTATTTTCTTTGATATGTGAGAACTTTACCAATATAGTGAAGGCTAACAGCAATATCGATATGCGGAAACTGATAATATTCTTCAAGCATTTCCAAAGCTTGTTGATGAACAACGAATGCTTCTTCATACTGGGCTTTTTGGAAGAGAATTTCTCCTAAACTGCGGAGAATAGTAGCAATAGGAACATAGCCATCCAGATTAATTTTGTCTATTTGCAATCTTCCACTTTCCCGTATGTTTCGACAGAGTTCTAGCAAATTTCTTCGGGTCCATCGTTCGTCATTAAGTTCTGCTTTATTTATCTCATGTTTCGGTGAAAACTGCAAAGAGATGCGTTGACACCCTGTAGCACAAAGCCATTGAGAATTCGATTGAATTAATTCTTTTGACTCCAATGGAGTCGTAGAGCACGGCGCTGAAACACGACTCCACAGACTGCTAGACTGGTGATTTGGTGAATAGGATTTATCGAAGTTGACAGAAGAATAATACTCCTTATGTATTGCCAATGCTCGTTCATAATAATCCTGAGCTTCTTCATAATTTCCTTCCAGATACGTAATTTCACCAATATTAAAGAGTATATCTGCTGAATCTTTGATCCGTGTTGGTTTGGAGTTGGTCATCCGATCATAAGCCCACTCATAATATTTTCGTGCTCTAGTCCATTCTCCTTTCCATTGAAGAACTTCACCAAGACTACGTTCAAGCTTCGCGAGGTCTTCACTATTGCTATTAGAATCGTATAATAAATGTTGAAAGAAATGTTGTGATTGATTCCATTGACCCATATCACACATCAATCGTCCAAATAGAATTTTGATACTCAAATCTTGTATTTGACGATGTGAGTCTTTTATATATTTTTCTTTGATAAGTTGACCTTCATTTGATGCACTCATTTCTATCAACCAAATTTCTTCCTCTTTTTTCACACTGTCCAATCGAAAAGTAATATTTGCATCGAAGAGAACTTCCTTTTGTTCTTCATATGATGTTTCATTGAATTGAGTAATGTCAGCAACAATAGCACAGTTGTTAAGTTGTCTTAGGTCACATTGAATTGCTAGAAGAACAGCAGTGAGATTAGTTTGTTTGGAAGGTTTCATTGCTTGGTTGACTGCAGCTGAACGAAGAATATTTGTTGTCAAAAACCCATTGACGGTAACCAGTTTACCTTCGTTTTCTTTGAATTTCTCGATTTGATCATTGGTCAATTTTATCCCTTGATAGGTAATCAGTATTTCTTTACCAGATCGAACTAATTTTTGATGTTCTCGGACGAGACTTTCGGACAGATCTTTCATAAAATACCGAAAAGTATAGAGCTCGTCGAAGTCTTTAATTCTCAAAGCTTTGCTGATGATTCTGTAGAGAAAAGATTTCTTTAAATACCATCGAAGAGCTTCTTCTGATCGATATTCATTTTCAAATTTGCTAATCATTTCCAATTCTTTGGTATTGTCCAGATAATAAAAACGACATGCATCGATCATTTCACGTTTGGCTTCTTCATCATATGGTAATTGAAAGAGAACATCACGATAAAATTGAAACCACAGAAGATCCGCCGTTTGCTTTGATAGATTTTTTGTCACGTATTCATCGTGATCGAAGAAGCTAAAGGTTTTTGAGTGTTGTTCTAGAGAATCAACTTGCTCTTGTATTGATAAGCATAATAAGTCGAGTTTATTATAGATTCCAATCAGTTTTGGATGTTCAAGAACTATATGTTGATGATCGATTTTTTCCGAATTGAAGATAAAGATGTATTCAATTTGAGATAGTCTCGTAATATGAGGTAATATTTTTGATAAGTCAGTAGTCGAAGCGACCAGAAAAACTTTTTCATTATGAATCGATTGTATGAAATTAATGCAAGGTTTGAGTTCACCATGAAATACAACATAATCATTAATTTGATGTAGTTGTTTCTTTGTTTGAATTTCATGATTATTAGATTCCACATTGGAGTCGAACCAAATCAGAGTGATGTCTTCTTTGTTGCTAGTTCTGCTCATCAATTCCGATGAATTTTTCAAGATAATAGAACGTGTTGCCATGGATGATAAAAGCACCAAGGTTATTGTTTGATGGAAATGGCAAACATTTAGTTCT